GAGTCTTAAAGCCTTGAAATATTCCAGTGTACGCCTCGAGACAACTTTCACGCAGCCGGTTCAGAAAGTCGACTTGGTCCAAATCATTCTGAAAATGACGCAACGTCAGAAAGTAACTTGATAAAAAAATATAATTGTAGAAGAATTATAACCGGGTCGATCTCCGCAGTCATCGCCTGCAAAAGCGTCGGAAGTACTGCGGGAAGAAACGGGCTGAAATTTGGACCGATTGCCAATGCGATGTCGCCGAAAACGGTCAGAATCTGCGGCTTGACTGATTTGTCCATTGACATGTCCTAAAGAAACAAGAACGTGCGAAATGGGTCTACATCAGAAATTCGCTCGAACCGCCAATATTTCGAAGAGAATCTGCATCGTCTCTGACAAAAACGGTAAAATTTTCATATCCAGTGAACGGCACAAGTCATCGACGAGACCAACGGCTACCTGACACACCTATATGACAAATAAACGCTCATCTTAGACGCGGCAGTAAAACAGTGCGGTGACAGGAAACACGGTACTCACCTGGCCTTCGGCGTGGTTTCTAAGACTTTGGTAGAGGTACGGCTTGAACGCCTCGACGTATTTCAAAAAATCTTGACCGAGAACTGGAAAGTAACTGATCGCAAAACACGCAACAACAAGCAAAACTGTACAAGCGTGCCTTCGATCAGTGCCGAGATAGCCAGCAGCGCGTCTTCCTTCACACTACCGCTGCCCTTTCCAGTACTACGATGCATGATCTGTAGAAGCGACTGCATGATTGTGTCAGCGATATTCAGTGCATCCTCGCGTTGCATCCGACGAATACAACTTTGCAGCACAGCGCAAAGCAGAGCCTGCAAATCCTGCAGCTGTGAGCGATCGCTGCTGCCCTGCATGTTGCCTTCAAGCGCTAAAATTGAGTTGAGCTTCTTCAGAAAAATTATTGTCGTGTTTTGAACCACGTGATAGCAATCCTAAACAGCGAAACGTTAGAAGTAGGATATTTTCAATATTTCTTACATTATAATAGCCTAATAAATCAAAAATGTTTTATGATAAATGTTCCATGGTTTAGCACATGGATCTTAAAAGGGTGATGTCACAATTTAATAAACTAAGGGTTATGGAGTCAAGTTTGTCCTACTGCGCATTAGGCAAACCCTAGCTGGGTTCCGGGAATTACCCACTGCATAGCTTCTTAGTCTAATTAAACTCAAATTTACTACAACCATAAAACCATTTATATGAACATATGTGAACGTAACATAAGTATGTAACTTGCAACGTCAGTAACCAGAAATCATGCAGCATCTTGCAGCCTACCGGAGTAGATAAAGAATTTAAGCTAATTAAAAATACGAGTCAGATGGAAAAGAGAAGTCATGCCAATCCAGAATCAGACTACATGCTTATTGGTCAGGTTCACGTACATCAGATCAATTCCTCCACTGCAACAATACCTCGGCCAAGATGTGACGGAGCTTATCAGAACTAGGAAACTAAGGAAGAACGTGGAAGAACTAAACTACTTGGAACGTCATGATAATTGGAATATCATTACGTCGGTCATGGAATCGATTTCGCTAAAATACAATCCATTGCTGGTGAGAAAAGAATTCGCGAACGCGATCTGACTAATGTATTCCTGGTTCAGTGATCAAATAATGCAGCCATCAGAAACTCATAGATGAGGATAAGAAAAGCTTGGAGGCTACAACAATGACTGACGCCAGCTTGTAGGCGCAACTACATCGCAGAGAGAGAAGGATCCTCCACTCATCATCTGGATAACTGACAGGTATTATAACTAACCCGTTCAGATGAATTAAAAGTCTTTGCAATTTAACGAGTCAAACAATGAGGACTTCAGAAAGTAATCGACACCCAGTTCAGCATATATAATATTCATATTTTTCTTTTGTCAAGAAACATCATGGATTAAATTCCGCAACGATACTCACTCGAACCTATTTCTTCGATACACGTCGTGTATCACCAAAAATAAAAAAAATTCATCAGCAACAACGAACTTCGTATGTGATGAACAAATTTATAATACGGCGAAAATCTCAAAAGCGCGATTGACCATCTATACGAAACAAGAAGAAATGGCTACAAATCCTTTCTCATTCAGAATGAGTTACTGCAACCGCATTACAAACTAAGATTCACTAAAGACATAAGCAACGGAATAAACAAATGCATTTTTTGAATCCTTCTATCACGCAACGCTGTTGTACGTCTAACCCTGCAGCAACAGTATACGTCATCAACCAGAAAAGTTACTACGAAGATCCTTTTGACAAAGAAAGAAACCCATTTTAGAAAACTCAAACGTCGTCGTAAGATTCAATGCAAAAAAACCAGTAAATCTGATGTAGTTAAAACTTTTAGACCATTGTTTCCGTACAGAAAAATACTCATCTACACATCAGTCGAGGGTCACACAGAACATTCATGCATGGACAGGAATAGCTTAAACCTGTCAGAAATCCAATTCATTCTTAACCAGCAACCAACAACGATGCAGTACGTAGCGAATATTTCTCATCTCACCAACTAAACAGAAACAGGAACGCTATCAATGGACAAAGTAGAGGTTCAACATCAACACTAAATCTGAATATCTGATCCATATTAGATTTAATTTAGTACTAATATCAGTTTACAGCTCAGCTGATGATGTTGGAATTTGAGCGGTAACAAAACGCACTAAACTATGGTATATATTTGTATTTCCCACCACGAATAGACAAATCTAATTATTAAACAGTCATGGGATCAGATAGTTTGCACTACAGTTTTGCTCTGACCGCTCCTTAACGGTTTACATACAAACCTTTGCGTGCCTCTAACGACCCCCCTACCACTACTGCCTCCTAAAATCACATGCGTAACGGTCATTGCTGCTAAGTTAACTGCTAAACGACGTCATTTCCGTAGTGTGGCTAATCGTGCGATGAATTATAAAGATCGAGGCTCTGCGATTAGAGGCAACCGGCTTTATTTTAACAAATGGCAAGTAACAACAACTTAGAATTTCACCTCGCACCTACTATAACAACATCTATAAAGAGAGTAAGCAGCTCTTTGAATCAAGCATCGGCTACGATGCGCTAACGTAAAATAAGACTAGTCATGTGAAAATCAGCACCAGATTAACGACGACCGCATAAACTAAAGTAACGAAAAAATTACGTACCTGCGGACTAGTTTTAATCAGTTCCATTAAACTTTCGTACGAAGCACTTCGCAAGTTTGAAAGATTCGCGTCCGGTCTACAAAAGCGTGTTCTGCACGAAGATTTCGACAGTTATTCACTACCTGTCGGTTGTCTTTAACAGCTCGTTGACGATCGCTTCGAAACAAGATGACAAAATGTAAGTAGTCGAATGGCCGCTGGTTCGGCCGTCCGCCGATACGTTTCCGGGCATTGCACACTCGTACGCCGCGGCGGTCAGGTTCGTGATCGCCTGAAATGAGCAACGTCGGAAATGGGAAAACGGGTCGTTACAAGGTACTCACCCAACAAGCATTGGAGGCGACCTTCGGTTCTTGGGTCAAACAGTGAGTTAGTGCAGGCAACAACGGATTGAGGATAAACGGCGCCAAAACCACACCTTGACAGATTTCGCAAACGCGACCGACGCACCATGCCGCACTGTCACGCACGGCACTGTGCGAATCACTCAGCAGCTGCGTCAACACTGGCATTGCCTGTTCGACAAGCGGCTTCAAGTTCTCAGGGTCTGGACCTTCCAGAACCGAACCTGAAACAATGACGCTCACAAGCAGCAACCGAGAGCGTCCCAGTCAGCTTAGTTTTCTAATCACTCTTACTGAGAAAATATTTCCAGATCAATCTTAATTTCGCAGCCCCGTTGCCTGTGTAGGTTACAACAGGCCATCGACGGTACTCGTTGTTTCAAAATATTTCTCTAGCTGCAGTTACGAGTTTCAATTTCTAAGCCAAAATCGCCCTGTATCACTGGTAGTCTCACAAAATTTCGGAAACACGTCGCTAACATTTTCGTGGTGCGCCCATGTCAAAAGATTTCTGCGACCCTTGCAACTCACTGGCATCGTTCTTTGAGCATCAATCCTTCCCAAAAGCCAGTGAGCATTTCGTGTCAAAACAAAACCCGGATTCTTCACCCAGTAGAGTTTAACTTACACTGTATCGTGTCGGGTTCGAGTTCCGGTCAGGTAACTCGCCATTTTTTTTCATTTCGAGGTAGATGAATGCCATTCAGTGTGAGGGAAACAAGAGCTACATGTCATGCTTGCCACACTGCCATAGATTCTGTCTTGCCAAGGCGCCTTCGGCTGGGCATATAAACGGAGCTCAGTGCCGCATCTTAAGCTGCATGAATGGCATCGGAATTAGCTCAATCATGAAAGTGTAAGGAAGACCGACATTCGAAACTTTCGTTCTTTTTTTCCATTTCATATGTCATCAGAAAACAAAAACACGACGTACGTCGACCAGGAATTCAGCAAGCAACACCGATGTACAAGCAGATCGGCGTTCGAAGAACATTTACGTCTAAAAATGCAGCCACTACCTTATCGCAAAACTGCTGAAAATTTCTGTTCTGAAGCCAAAAGCG